TTTTATTTTTTTTTATTTCATTTATATTTTAGTAACTTATTTATCGTTACATTTTTTTAATTTTATTGGTTTAAAAACCTATCTTATGTATTTTTTGTTTTTCAATTTAATTTCCTTTTAATTTTTAGATTTTATTGTTTTAAAAAAAAATATTTTTATGATTTAATTTAATTTTTTGAATCTTTTTTTGTCTTTTTAATAACATTTTTTATTTAACATCTCTTAATTTTTTATATTTTATTGTTTGTAAAATGAAAATATGCTTTTAATGTCATTTAATATTCAGAAACTTATATTATTTTTTCGTTTTATAATTGAATTTTTGCTTTTTTTAATTTAATTTAATTTTAATTTTTATATTATATTGTTAAAAAAAGGTTTTATCATTTAACTTAATTTTCATGAACTTATATTATCTTTCAATTTAATTTAATTTTAATTTGTAGTTTTTATTCCCAAAAACAATAAACTTATACGTACACAATTTTGTTAGAAAAGTTATGCCTAAAAGACAAACAGAATAACAGGAGGTCTTACTCCTGGTGAGCAGATCTTTCCACTAGTATTTCCAAAGAAAGAAAGAGCTTTGAGAGAGCAATTCCATTGTCTTACGAAAGACTTTTGTCTTTCGAAATACTGTGGTAAGTTGAAAGATGGTTGCCAGAATTGCCCTCTTAATGAATATTTTTGTCAAGAATATTTTTAATTCCAAATTTTGGCATTTTACCCCGGGGTAAATGCAGCATTACACGCTTTTACTTACCATTATTTTTCGCTTTTATGTAATCGTAAACACTGCTAGCTATCATACAGAATACAATGAAACTAAAGAAAACACTGGAAAACATTTGAAATATATGCATTACCAATTAGAGCCTGTAATAAATAATTATATAATTGATTAGCTCACTCACATGGCGAAGATGTCGATCGCTCGAAATTTAACGGGCTCTTCATATTTGCAATATTTTTCTTGCATCATCGTTGAAGTGATGCCAGCATCATAGTACTTATTCATCACGCCAGTCAAGATTTTATTACCCAATTCAGCTGAACATGAACTTGGTATACAAACACCTAATTCAAATGTCTCTGGCTTTGAATATTTATAGCTGATCCTAGCTGGACTACGTACTTGACGTGGTTTAATCTCGTCCATATATTTTTTGATTGGCACGCGTGCCAAACAATATTGACCGCGTAATACATCATCCGTACTGAATTCCCAAGAAGCAGCTAAACATTCTTCATAGGCGCCGAAGCTCAGTGCGTGACCCCACATCAAACCGACGGGTAGACGGCCCCATGTGTCGGGAACTGTAATAAAAATTGAGTTAGTTGAATTGAGTTGGCATATGTCGACAAAACATATTTTACCGTCAAAGAGAAAAAAGTTATAATTCGAATGAAATATTAAAATATTTTATCGCTATTAACAGCCTTTTAAATGGCTCTGTTTTTGCTTTCTTTCAAATAAAAGTTATTGCTCTGGCAAATTTCCACAAATCCTCTAATGCTTTTCATGATAATTTTTGCCATTTTGTAGATGCATAAGCTAGAGATAATTTAGGTAGACTGTCTGAAGTGAAGCCATTCTAATAGAATTATCCAATAAGGACTGAAAACAGTGCTTCCCTGCATGCTTCCTAGAAAGGGGTTTCCTATTTACAATTTACGCGAATGTACTTATGTAAGTATGTATTTATATTATTTAGCATTACAAATAGGATTCAATATGCATTTTATGTCTCAATAAAACTTATTTGCTCTGAACCTTAAATACTTAAATTCCTTAAAGAAGTATGATTTTTTTAAATAAAAACTGCTTTAAAAGAACTTCTTCGAAAGGCCTTCCCTATAAAAGCCTTTCTGGAAGCACTCATTTGAGTAGCGAAAGCAGAAGCCCACTCCACACTATGCCACTCTGTACAAAAACGGAAGGAGAAAGGATTCTCCGCTACTAATGACAGAAAGCTTACCCTATTTTTCAAAGCAAAAAATTAGATGGGTGTCTGCATTGATCTTCAATAAAAAACCAGGAAAATTTAAGTGTGGACCAGGACGCCACGACAATTGGTTTAAATCAGGACAAATCTTGGAAAACCATGATGTCTGGAAGCCCTAGTGTATTGGAGAAAACTATGAAGCACCAGGTCTATGGATTTGGTCTTTTTTGAACTGAGAAAGGTATGCAATAAACTTTTTAAAAAGTTTCAAGCATATATTATTTTGTATATTGTATTTTTTGTTTAAATCATTGCGTACTGTTTGTAGGTCAAAAAAAGAAAAAAATCAAAAATTTGACTTATGTGTTTTTTTACCTAAAAAACTAAAATGTATTTTTTAGTTTTTGTGACCATGACAATGGAATAATTGATGCAAGAACAGCAACAGCTTTTTAAAAAGTTCATTGCATTGAAAGACTTCCATTTTTAAAGGTAATTTTAAAGGTCAAGGTAATATTTTTATCCAGCGAGACTATTTTTTCTGTATTCTCATTGCAAACGCTTTCAAATACCGTTACATATATTTCGCTGTTTGTTCTCGTTCTTAATGCCGAATGATTAAAATGGTTCAGAGGATTTCCAACTACACTGATAATAAATATAAAATTTGCCGCTTAGACTTTGTTGTTTTTTTTTTCATTTTTCCTAACAAACAAATCGTGTTACAAAGTTCAATAACACTACTGACATTTATTTACTTTATTATTTTATTAGGTGTAATTAAAGCTCATTTTGCACTTATCAACCGAAAACCTTTTAAACTTTGCCAACTTTTATAAAAAAAATTACTCTTTTCTATGTTTATGTATGTATTTAAGTATGTTAAATTGTTATTGTTAACGAAATTATATATATTGGCAGTCCGACTTGCATGTATTTGCGATTAGATTATAATACATATCATTTAAATCATAAGTTTTTATGAGTATTTATGACTCAATTGTGATTTACTATAGTTTTACCCAAAATTTATGCGTTGCAAACTTATGACGCCGATTGTGAATTTAGGCTTCTGTTTCGTCACAAAGTTATGCAATAAATTCAAAACGGAAGAGATTTATTTACTTTATGTAGATTAACGATTACTATTATAATCGAGATATCACAAAATAGTCGAAACCTTTGGTCGGGGTTTAAGTTAAATTTATGATCACATATATACATGTCTACATACTGTGTTAAATAATAGCTTTTACGTGCACACTTTTAGTCAAATTTATGGTTTTTTTTTTGTTTCTTTGGAAGTTAATACTGGTAATTGGTAAATGACCAGAAGGATGTTGGGTAGATAAAAAAAAAACACTAACTTAACAAATGATTCTAAAAACCTAAAAAAAAATAAACAAGAATGATAAACTGCGATAACGAAAATGTAACGAACGTTTGTCCGAAAAATAGTTTTTGGGCCATAGTACGGGGAGACTCTTATTAAAGTAAAAAAGAGATTACTGAAAATCGGTATTTACCGCCAATATCTAAAAACCTAAAAAAAAATAAACAAGAATGATAAACTGCGATAACGAAAATGTAACGAACGTTTGTTCGAAAAATAGTTTTTGGGCCAGAGTACAGGGAGACTCTTATTAAAGTAATAAAGAGATCACTGAAAATCGGTATTTACCGCCAATATCGGTACGAATGGTTAACGTAAATGCAGTATAGGCAGGGGCGGCAAAATATGGGGACGGCAAAATTTGAGTTAAAAATTTTTTTTTTTCAAGTTAGCTGCACTGAAAGTAGAATTTTTGTTTTTACATTTTAAGACATTAATTTGAGATTCAATTATGCAATCAAAAAATAAGACAACGCTGTTAGGTATTTTTGATATTGTTTAAATGATAATATTTAAAAATACCAATTTAATATTTTTGAGTTTATAACTTATCAAGTGAAAAAACTTTGTGGATGATGGCTTTCTTTAAAAGTTGAAAACCTTTACTCAAGGAAAATGCCACTTTTCATCATAAATTATAATAAAAGTATAGTAAATAGCATAAATTTGAATGTTACTATTTACTGCTAATCGTTTCAAAACTGGTGTTCTTACCTCAAAATATTTTTCTTATCCGAAAAAGGGCGGCAAATTCTGAATTGCCTAGGAGTGACAAATATTCAAATCCGCTTATTGCACTTCTACAGGAAATATGTAGGTTGCAGATCGCTTTTTATATATATTTGTACAGAACTAGATTAATATTACTTTTCGAATAGGTGGCAACACTAATCAGAAATAATTTCGAACTCAAATTTTTTTTAAAACTATTTCGTTTGAACTCATATATTCTATTTAACCTGTTAAAAGTTTAGTAAATTCGAGTTTTCAAAAAGGTGGCAACCCTATTTAAAATTATATTCAAACTAAAATCTTTTTCTTCTGACATTGTGGTTCTCTTTTTAATTAACAAATTAATTAAATTGATCATGCAACTTTTAACACCTAATGATTCTAAATGCTAAAAAAAGATTTCATAACAATATTTCGTGTGTGGCAAATATTTTAATATCTCATATAACTTCTGTATAAACTAACTAAATTTGACTTTTCAAACAGGTGGCAACCCTATTCAAAATCATAACATGTACTTCAATTACTTAATTAACGTCGAATTTGATTTTTTAAATAGGTGGCAACCCTTCATTGATACCCATAATGACATTATTTATATAAAATTTTTTAAAAGGTGGCAACTCTTCGAAAAAGTTAAACCTTATCGCACATCTAATCTACACTGCAAATAAAAAATATTTCTGCCAACACTCGATTCCGCTATGTACGTTTACTTTTTTTAAATTATGGTAGATTGTCTCTAAATTTCAATTACTCGTGTCACTTGTGCATATCTATCAGAAGGATAACCCTTGCGAATTTAAATACTTTCTATCGTATTTAAATAGTACGACCTCCATTCGCTATACAATTTCACTTACACTCAATAGCCCATTCGTAATATTCGTCGAGTGCCGCCGATATACGATCGATATCCCTGAGGCATTTCGAATCGTCGTATGCTCTTAATGTGCCATTAACTACTGCAGCGCCTATGCTTGCACCATCTTTAAAAAAGAGATAAGCAAGATCATTTTTGAAGGGTGATCCTGAGGCAGCCAAAGCTGTTATTGATTGTTCAGCATTCGAATTATATAAAAATAGCGCTAATATAAGCGACAACACCGCCAGTGCATGCCGCGCTGCCATTTCGTTTGTGGCCGTAACACTTAATCGTTATGTATGACCGCACTACACTAGGATATGACCGTAGTCCCACTTGTCGCGCCAGTATATAGGACTAAACTGCAAGAAACCCATATTCGGCAGTAACATTTATAGCCATTGCTGCCACATTACTCAAGATATGGTCATATCAATCCGCGAACGAGTATACATAAGTACTCGAGGGCACACATACTCACCTACTCCATTTTCCACAAATAAATCTTATTTCTTGTTCAGATATTCTTGAATCTAAGTATATGGGTATTGATTTGCTTATATTGATAACATGCCACACATTTGATGAAGTATGTATATATGTATGTTGGTTTAATAATGAAAAGTATTGCTCGTAATCTTAAAGTAAAATTCTTAACTAATCAATCGCCAACAATAAACGCTATAATTCGTAAATCTGCCGGCTTATCGAATTTTAGATTATAAATAAAGAGGTAACGGTTGAATTGTAAAACTAAACAGAAGGCATTTTATTGTTTGTGTGACAAAAGCAAATACATTTTTCGAGATATGTATAAAATAAATTTAATTAGCGGCGGTATATCGAAATATGGTATTGACCAGAGATTGCGGTGAATGGGCGAAAAAAAGGTCATTGAAAGAGAAATTAAAGGAGAGTTTATAACAAAATTGCCATTTTTACAGACTTGTAAATAATATTCATACGGACATATGCATTTTTATATATGTATGTATGTACATACATACGTTAATACTGTACATATGTATTTTAGTAAAAAATGAAACTTTGTTCCTCAAATTTCAGTAATATCAGCTTTGGGTAGATCTACTTCGGAGCGCTGCGCATATTTGGCTAGCTGGGATCGATTAAATAACGTATACGCCCTGATGTCCACTGATATTAAGAGTGAAAATATTCATATACACATATGTATGTATGTACATACATAATCATGTATGGATTAAAAACATTGATTTTTTTGAAGTCAAACTACTTAACGCACGTTCACAATATCGTAATTAACTACTCATTTGTAATTTATAAGCAAATCATGCTGAAATCAAGTAATTTTGATTTGTAATATCTGTCAATAAATTAAATAGAAATGAGATAATTTATCATAAATCCAGAACCAAATGAAGAAAAAAAGGATGTTTCATTTATTTTAGCCCACACTGTTGAGGAAATAAAAAAAGAGTAAGTGCGCCTAGGCCACACTGGAGAAGTGAAACTTCCGTTGCATATCTATTTTGTCTCATAACTAATATACCGACATGCATATCGAGCGCTAACCGCAAAAATAACGTAAGCGACGTTTTTTTCAAAATTTTTGTTTTGATGCAGAAATGCATCTAGATGCTCTAGGAATATTTCTGCATCAAAAAGAAAATGTTGAAAAAAAAATGTCGCTTACGTTATTTTGGCGGTTAGGGCTCGATATGTATGTATGTACACACATCTGCTTTTGCTTAAGGTTGTATTTTTTGCCTTTTTTATTTTAAAATTTTTTACATTTATGTTATTCCGTTTTTCTTTATCCTCAATTTTATCCGATAAAAATATGGATAACAAAATCGATTACAAATTCGATAAAAATATCGATAACAAAATCGATAAAGAAATCGATTAATAATCCATAACAAAATCGATAAATAATCACTAACAAAATCGATAAATAGTCCTTATCTATATCCTTTCTCTATAATTACCTTTATTTGAATTTTTCTTCCTCTATCTTCATCTTTACTTTAGTCGGTATTCTCACCCTCATCTTTTTGTTTATATTTATCTTTGTTTTTGCTTTTATGTTTATCATTTTCTTCATACACATATTACCATTCACCTTTTGCCATATACTTATACACAAGTAAAGTGTTCAAATTTACCATGGTCGTAACGTCACGGTAAAGGTGGGATGTTTATGGTGAATGTGTGGACTAAAAACGAACGGTTGCGTTAAACGCCGCTGCACAGTGGTTCAAAACTGTAAGTTACCGTTCAAAATTCACTAGAGCCTTAATTTTTCACTCAATTTGATTAACCTTTTATAAATGCAAGCTTAAAAGCCGTTGAAGTTAAATTTTCTTGTATTAAATTTTTTAGTGCAAGTGCAAAGTTCTAGTTAATAAATATTTCATAATAAAACCTAGCCGCAATCGCAAGGAATATTTGAAATGTTTTTAAACAAAAATGCAACAAAATTAAGTTTTTTTTGTAGTTTTTAGACAATTTATCTGCAGTTTTATAGATCGTTTAATTCTTGTACAATATAGAGCTTTATGTGGCTAAGAGTACGTGTTGATTTTTAATAATATATAAAATAAGAATATGAACTACACAACATGCAGATGTGCTCGGAAAATTATCGAAAAAATTGGTTACACAGAGAAATAAGTACCTAATAAAATGATAAAAAACTAATAAGATATCTCTAAGACTTTTTGTAAAGAAGATATTCCTCTTGCTTCCAGGAGCCTTAAACATTTCCAGTAAGCACTAGCAGCGAGAGCGTAAACACAAAATTGAGATAAAAAAAATAAAAATAAATCAGTATATGTATGTACATATATACATACAAAAAAAATATATTAAATAAAAATAAAAAATAGAAAAGTAAACATAATAAAAAAGATAAAAAATAAAAAAATAAGAAACAAGGTCCGTTCCAAAACCAAAAAGTCGGCAGTCGTAGTCGCATCTGTTAGCTAACGGATATTGCATCATGACAATTAATGCCTTTTTTTTCAGTTCGTTATTTAATTTGATTACATCAATATATGTATGTATGTATGTATATTTTATAACCCAATAAACATTGTGGCGAACGTTCGAAAAATACCTTCGATATCCAATATGAATATCGAACTGCGTACGAACTCATAACCAATCTTAGTTTTACAACGTTCAGAGTAAATTGCAAACACACTCGAAATGGGTTCGAAAAAAAATGGAAACCATGGTAGCAAGAGAGAAAGTGAAGGCAAATGTAAGACAATCACTCTTTCACAATAAAATTTCAATTCGATAATGGGCTGGATTTCGAATTCATAATGAAGGGAAAATACATTGGATAACTAAGGTTCCATTTTGCTAGAGAATGGCCTAGTTCTCGAATCGAATACTAACCTGTTTCACATTCGTTACCGAAGTTGAGACTCGAAAAGAAGATTGGTTTTCCAAGCATTTTCGAATTGTTAACCAAGCCCAATGTTTATTGGGGATTTACGAAACAAAATATTCATTTACAACTATGTATGTATGTATGTATGTATTGGAACACTCATTCAACAATGATGTGGGAAAAGCATTTTTATTAGATTATCATCAACTTGCATACTTAGATACCATGCTATCCAAAGTCCATGGAAAAACCAAGAAAGTTATTCAGTGCAGTTAATCAGTGCTTGCACGTTTAATAAACGTCGTTTATACATACATACGAATATTGTCATTAATGTCCACTGGAACTTAAAAACAATAAAATCAAATGTTAGTATCTAGCAAAGCGAAATGTGTGCAGGTGCCGCACTATTTTTATCATTTATTATTTATTGGCCATAAAGATCTACGAAATTTATTAAATGGGCGAGTCAAGTGCTCACATATCATATTATTCCTCCGTCACAGATTAGCCAGCTCTGATTACACCGGCCAACAAAATTTTGCGACAGAGGATCATCAATTTATCCAATAAGCTTTAGTTGTTTATACATATACATACATACATACACATTTACATATTTTGGATTTATCTTTAGTATCTGTTGGACTCCTATAGTAATTCTTTGAATAAGATAAAAAGAAAGCTTAGATATTGGGTCTATAGTCCAAAGAGTAGAAAGATTAGTACCTGTTAGCATTGGGAATGGTTTTTAAAATACAAAAAAAAATGTAAATTGAGTGCGAAACGTTCTGCTAAAAAATTGTACTATTTCATAAGGAGCTCAAATGTCTTTTTAGCAAATATCCCAGACGTTCGGCCGCTCAAAAGTGATATACTTTGAATAAAAATCTTCTATTATCAGATTTAATTAGATATATGTACTTCAAAATATTAAGAATAATTTTCAAAATTAAGATAATCTGAAATGTATCAAATACCCGAATTATCTCAACTGCTTCTTCATTTAACGATTATCAATTTAACATAAAAGATCGTTTTTCAATAAACAGAGACCAATAAACATTTTTCCGAATTAAGAAATAAAATTTGTTATCACTACAAAATTTCAATGTATTTTATATTTAGGAAAAAACAACTTTTCGTAGAAATGGTATACAATTCTTTAAAATCAATATTTTCAAAATTTGGTTGGTTGGTTGGTTGATCTTCCACTCAGCAGTCGATATAAATACATACATGGAAAATTTTGAACGCATTGAGCGACCTCTAAATTTTTTTAAAATTCTGACTTTACCCTTTTGGGACCACCCTTATGTATACTTACATACCCTGTGGGAAAAATCTCTAGTTCTGAATCGGCGCGCTTCTAGTACATTTAGACCCAGTAGTGGTTCGCGATAAATCCCTTTTGCGTGCAAACAAGAGGCGAATTTAACTTTCTATAGTTCCGAACCAGTTCTAAAATCGACAGATGAAAAAAAATATCATGATTTTTCAATCTTTTCGGTTCTTCCGTGTGTACGATTTAAAATTATTTTCAAAGAAAAGTGTTTTCAATTTGAAATTAAATTTGTTTGGATGTAGCTGAGTTTGCGGAGGTACTTGCTGTTATTAGTTTTTTAAAAGTACCACATTTCGCTTACTTTGGGCTGGTGGGGATCTAGTTACTATCGGACTGGTTCGTTTTTGGCGATAAAGATCTAGTACGGAACTAGAAATTTGATTTACTAGTCCGCGATTTCCCTGCAGGGTATGTACATAAATATGTAGTATTTAAAAAGAAGCAAAAAAGGATTAAGTAAGACAGTAGAGGTCCATAGTTCAATACTATTTCCATTTTCCTGCAGGGTTAGCATACTTAAGTCTGATTGTCTAGCATTA